GGGTTGCCTGGTGCTCAAGGGACATCCAGCTAAAACCATTTCCGTTGCATCAAGACTGTCGATTCATTCAAGGTCTTTTCGTAATTTCTATTTGAAGCTTCTCTGTGGCAGTCGAATGAGTGGTCGAATACGTCTCGCGGGCTGTTTTGACACGCCGTTATTCTGTGCGTCTCGTGTTTCAGAGTTGGACTTTTGACCTTGGAACACTGAACGTAGTTCAATCAAGTCATCGTCGAGTCCCAGTGGAAGTGACACACTCGACATGTCTTGATGTTGCGTTGAAGACAACGGGCAGAGAAGTACGTTTAACCCAGAAACAGGACGCTCACGGCAACTCAAAGGGATGAAAACGTGCTGTGGAGCAATCTAACGCGTTAATATTTATTAAAGCCTCATTATTCGCTGAGGAAATATATTATGAGTGAGCAGCTGTGCAGACAAAGTCTCTAAACAAGGACGAATGTGGGAGTGTTATCCGTTGTCTTCCACATCAGTTGGTAAAGATGAGTATAAGAAATACATAAAACAACGTGGCCTGAGGGCTCCACTGGGAACATATGCTAAAGTTGTGCCAAAGAAACACACAAGTGTGTGTGTGTGTGTGTGTGTGTGTGGGAGCGCTGCTGGGAGCGGCCTTCTGCTCTTGCATTACACCTTATTATAAATGATCAATGACGTAGTTACTCACAGGAAAACCCAGGCCTGTGTTCGCTCTCATATTCTTGAGCCACTACAACTGCATCACTTTTAAAGAGCCCGTCTTCGATTCGTCCCTCTGCGGCCCACAGATTGATCGCAGCTGCCTGTCGATGCCGACGCTCCCCGCCGCCGTCCTTTTCTTCCCGCTCTGATCTTCCGGGCGCTTGTGTGCCCTCGTGTGCGCCGCTGATCTCCCAAACCCCCCCCCCTGTTACCGTACTCAACCCCGAGGAGGACTTAAAGCTCCTTGCAGACAGGTTTAAAATGCGTTTTCCCCCTGTAACCCGAGCGTGACGGTAGTCCTAGCGGAGCCGGAGAACAGGCGGAGATGGCAAACGATAACGATAACGCCGTTTGTGCCGGAAGAATAGAAACCTCCCCCCCCTCCCCCCCCAAAGTGCCTTTTATTATGACCACAGATACATAACTGCAGTAAACACAGTCATTGCCGGCTTCTGCATGAGGGCCGATTCCATCTGCACTGCAGAGAAGGATTCATGAATTAGAGAAAATGAAACTAAAGACGAATAATAAAAAACCTGCTTGTTGCTATTTCCCCAGAGGCACCGATTCATTCTCCTTTTACGTAACCGGCCTCATGCTTCCATGGTGCACTGCAGGCTGCCCAGTTGCCGCGTCGCCAGCAGCATGAGAGAATAGGCAAGCGTTTAATGAATCAACAACAACAACAACGACAAATGAACATGGATTGAGAAAGTGATAAAATGCCGAATCGTTGGCGAGGTGACACAGAGACGAGCGAGCTAAGCAGCTTCCAAACGCTTCAGATATCCGTCATCTCTCATCTTGGAAACAAGAGCGCGGACGTTGAGTGCGCGCACACGCCGCTGATAACAACCATGTAACACCTCGCGCGCGCTTCCGCCGACTGCTGTCGTGTTCCTGTCGGTGGTGGAGGATGTGAAGCGCGGCCGAGTGTTTGACGAGTCGGGCGTCTCGCTTGGAGGGAGACACACACACGCACACACATACGCAGACACACACACTGCCACGGCGTACGAGAGCAAGAACGTATTGGGTCGTCCCTTCACATTAAAAGCCCTCAGTTTCGGCCACCGTCTCCGCTTCCAGCATGTGCTCCCGACTCGATGAATTATGTAACCTCACAAATGACCAGTCTGGCCAACCGGCTGGCAACCAATTCAAATTTGAAGATACAGATGTAGACGTTCTGTGAGCTTTATTTGGCCCTTCATCTGAATGTTCTTCTTGATACATGCGTGTGCGTGAGAGAGCCAGAGTGTGTTCAGTCGGGACGTGAGGCATCCGTTACCTTTTATGTGACAGGAGCAGGGATTATTAAACAAGTACAGTGTGTTAAAGAGGTCCCTGTGAAGCACGCTGAAGTGTGTCGGCCCGATACGATGCATCGCAGCGCCTGGATTTCACTGACTGCACGTTGTGACATATTGGTTTGAACATTTGCACACCGTCACTGGATCACGGGACAGCTGCACATGCCATCGAAATAGGAACACGGCCTCAAAAACACTTCTTTTTTTTGTGACAACCTACTGTTTCCCTCAAAAGACATATTTTTTGTTTTTCCTGGGAATTTTGCAGTGTTTATTTTTAATTTTGCAATATTTTTTTGATCTGTTTTTGATATTATCCAACTAGTTTTCTGGAAAGACAACTTTACTTTTTTTAGTTTTCCTTTTCAGAAAGCTAATAATGTGGACGGAACACACCTTTCTGAAGGAAAGATTCATCAAATTGCTATTGTATTATAAGTTATTGTAATGCAGCTTGGTGTCCTGGTCTACACATTATGCTCACTAAAGGCAACAAAAAAATATCTTTTAATATTTTTTTTCATTAAAATAGATAAATAAATATGAAATGTCCGCCCAATTTTGCAAACCATGTTGCAATATTACAAAAAACAGTTGCAGTTCTGTATTTTTTCAAAATTGTTGATGGCCAGAGATGTGTGATATCTTCCACAGGACAGGAATTAATCCACTGTACATGTGTCATTCAGCCCTGAGGGTCACAAAGCCTGAAACCACAGTACTAGAACTAAGCCCTGCAGTGTTATTAAAATGTAAATTTCAAGGATGAATCTTAAAGGACGATATTGGTTGAGAAAATACATAAAACGTTTAACATTCAGTTTTTTTTTCTGCAGAAAAAATAAAAGCCTTTCTGAAGTAGTTTATTTGCTCATGACAAACGCATTGCGGTGCAAAGATCCCTGCTGTCACATCGGAGGGCACCCGAGCTGAAAAGGCGTGAAGGAGTTTCCCCTGGCGACGCATTTCAGAAATATAAAATCAAAAGAAGTTACACTCGTCAAACAGGAGAAGAAAAAATGTTTGCTTTGAGTCTCGCTCACGGACGCATCACAGTGTTTCCCCCTCCGCTGCGCGTTGGCGTCTCTGCATGAATGTTTCACTGTTGTGAGAAGTGTAGCGCTGCGCAGGTGGAAAGGCGGCTTTTGGACGCCATTTGAAAGGGTCTCACCGGCCCATATTTAAACGATGAGTTCAAAGAGCTTTTTTTTTTCGGCTTGTAGCTCATCAAGAAAGGAGGAGTGGGGCGATCGGGGGAAACGCATGAAAACAAGAAAAACACATTAACGTTGGAATATGTTCTCCCTGCGTGTGCAAACTCGGAACAGAAATGACTGTTTCAAGTTTCATGCTTGAGTCTTCGAAGCGGCGCCTCAAACAGTCCGATGTGAAAACCTGCCAAAAAAAAAAGAATCTGGAGAACAAACTGGAGACGTTTGATAGGGAAGGTTGTCGCGTTCAATCCAAAGACATTTCAATCTCAATGAGATCTCAAAGATGGAAGCAGGTCGGCTGAAACGTCTCTTGCCGTTTCCCTCTCCACCCGTTCTTCATGCTATGCTAGGCTAACTGCCTCATATTTACCACACCGGTGTTTCATCTTCCGCTATGAATTGATTTTGCTGGGTTGACTATTTTCTAACAGCGGGTACTCGTCGTCTGGGAAAAGTCTGTATCAACGCATAAGGAGGCAAAGGTGCGGAGGGATTTCGTCCTCGCGGCCTTGGTTTTCATGTCCTACGTGAGAGACGAGAACGCTGCTGTGTGATGTCAATCTACTCCCATAAGCCGCGTGCAGGCGTCCGTCTGAGAGCAAACACAGTTCTGTCACATGGTCCAACACCTGTTGGACACAGACGGTAACCCCCCTTCCTGTCCCGGGGGGCTCCGCAGTCGAAGCAGAAAATGGGGGCAGGGCTCCTCCGTCTGTCTGAGTGATTTACCCGTCCGGCTGCCTGACTGCACGTCATGAATCCAGCGGCGGTGCATTAAACGGCGGCCTGTTTAGTCCACCGTAGCGGCCTGGCGAATAAATCCCGACCCGCACAAGCGTTGATGGTGCGACTGGTGTGTGAGACGTGCCCGTAAGCAGAAATCCATCCCATTAACTATCGAGATCCGCACACACACACACACACACATACACACACACACGCGCACAGTCTTTGCAGTCTTAACGTTGCTGCCGGCGGACAAAAGAGAGGTGCAGCAGGAGTCAGTAAATAAACTCATAAACTCGTTTCAGTTTTATTCATTTGGCCTCGACTTGCCTCAAGAAGCGACACGTAAAACTCACCCTAACCAGTCCAGCAGGGGCCCTTTGCTTCAGATCCCCCCTCGTCGGGAGGAAGGTGTCACCGGAAGTCATTAGTCATCATCCAACCTCTTCCAACAACCAGAGTTAATATTTAAACATGCGCGCCCCCCCGCACTCTTCGGCTCTGTTGGTCTTTCATGAGAAAGTCCGGCTCCTCTTCTTATTTTCTGTCATTGATTTGAAAAGCCATAAAGCTACAATGAGCTTTGCCTGTGGGGAAGCTCTAAAGTGGCCCTCGATTCTCCCCTGCGCTCGCACAGTATGTTCACTGGATTGTGTGTATTCCCTCTCGCCGTTTCCTTCCATCATAAAACGCTTTTCAAGCCACTCGACTGGAAAATTGACTGTGCATGTCGATGTGGCTGAAAAGCCCCATTCAGAGCTTTTTGTTTGTCTTTACTGAAGATGTTTTTCGCAGTCAAACGTGTCCTTCTTTCTCCACCGAGAGCGAACTTTGGGGTTTAAAAAAAATCAAAAAAACTGAATACAGTCGGGTTCGATGCTTAACAGCGAGGTCAAAGTAAAGATCTACAGCTAAGTGAGCAACATCAACAGCAAACCGCCATCATTTTTACTTGATCGTTTGATAAATGAGTGTAATTAAAGTGTATTTCATGTCATTTAATAGCTTCCTTGTAATTTATTCTTTGTCTTTAATCGTCTTGCAGGTGCCTGAAACTTTCATGGCCTAAAAGACGACGTCTGCTTGTGACCGACCTGATGCCAGGAAGATCCATCCATGGTGGATTGGAAGTTTTAAGCATTAGTCGTTGGACTAATTGGACACTGGGACAGTGACTAACCACCAGCATGACCACATGTCCACATCAGTGGAGACTTGTCTGACATCGGGGCCTTATGTCTTTGTATCTTCTGTATTCATCAAAAGGACCTATTGGCTGTATCTCCAGTTTAGGTCAGTTTGCCAATGAGATCCCGGGTTTCCTCTCCCAGCGACTGAGGCTGATTGCGACATCTTAGTACTTTTGTCATGCTGGGAACCTGGGAACGAACCAGAAAGCCGACCGTGTGGCCTCCCTATCTTCACTAAGGACCCCCATGACCCCCGCAGAAGTCCCATAGCCGCCACATGTCCTCATCCGAGATCTAACAGCAGCCGCCGGGATGCGCGCATGCCTGTAGCCGCTCCGCGCCAGCGCTCTCGAGGCTGGCGGCCGTCTTCCTCGGCCATGACCCGGCTGATGTTGGGCCGGACTCTGGAGCGCATCTGCAAAGGCGTCCTGCTGCTGTGCCTGCTCCACTTCCTCATCATGATGATCCTGTACTTCGACGTCTACTCGCAGCGGTTCGACCTCTTCAGCCGCTTCAACAACGGCCGCAACGGATCCAGGAACAACGCCAGCGGGGTGGCGGCGGCGGCGGCGGCGGGGAGCGGCCACCACTACTACTACTACAACCTTTCCAGGCCCAACGCCACGCTGGCCAGCTACCTGGTGCCGAGTGCGCAGCCCGAGACCAATCAGACGCCGTCCCCCAAGCCGCTGCCGCCGTGCCCCGACAACCCGCCCGGCCTCGGTGAGTAAGCGTGCGTGTCGCAGGTGCCGCCAAGCGCCGAGGTCATCCGTTTCAATTCCATCGCATCCGCTCTATTTTTTATTTCATAGTGAGTAACGTGGCTGTCTTGAGTCGACGACCGTCGAAATTAACTGCGACCGTAGAATTCCTCCCCCTGCGGCGGCACTTCACCAAACCGCGGCGACTTTTTTAGGGCCGCGGCGACCCGGAGGAGCCCGCCGGCTGACCTGCCTCCCGGCGCGCTGCAGATATCGGGGGCGGGTGGAGCAGACGTCTGCAGACTTCTGACGCCGACGGCCCTGCGGGTGTTTTTAGTGCTTAGCCGTCTTTGCCGAGGCACAAATAAGAAAACATGACGTTTTACTTTGCCGTGTAAACTAAGGTGTGCAAGCAAAGCAGATCTTTAATAATGTTCCATCTTTCTCAATCCACTTTTATGACGACCAATTTGTTTGATTTGTCCGTCCAGCCGGCTCGTCGTAATCGTTTGTTACGGCTCGTGCGCGCTTTATGTCCGATAACGGAAACCATTGATTAGCTAATGAAAAGCGGAGACGAGACCTTGATCGCACTTGGAAGCTTGAGCTATTGATGCTATTTTCCAATTAACGGGAGAGCAGGTGTAGCAGTAATTTAGTTTTTCTGCGTGTCAGTCGGCAACGTGAAATGGACTCAATGTCAACGATTTACACTGTAGCATTTCGACCTCATACAATCACAGCGGGGCTGTCAGCAGAGATTCATGCAGTCACACACACAGCGCACACACGTACACACAAGTAGCATTTTCTGAAAGAAATGCACTTCTTTATCTTTATCATTTCTTCCTGCTTCCCGGGTGGAAAGTAGGTGTTGATTGTACATTTGTTTTTGCTCAAGAGAAGCCGGTTGAAAATATTAAAGTATCAATCAGACGTGAAGATTTGTCAAATTAAAATTTGGATTAAGTTGGAGATTAAAAGAAAAATCTTCAGAACAACGGATAAATTAGTCAACAATCGTTGGATTAACGGCTAATAAGCTGGTCGTCATGGCGGCCGTTCTCGATGCTGATGCGGAGCCTCGTGGCGGCAATCACATGTTCCTCTGCACACACCTACACACACTAACACACACACACACCTCATTATCATCACTATCCGTCCACCCAACAAATCAGAGGTTGATTGAGTCACACTAAGCCTCTGGTTTACTAAATCTATAATTACATAGTGGACGCACAAACGCACACTCACACGCTGCAGCCGTGTGTCATGAGCACTCACAGATAATAGAACTCGGGAAAGAGGAACTAATTCCTGCTGTTTTCATTCGACTGATCCCGATACTAATGAGGCCGGAAAGAAAACTGCTGTATTATGTTGTCATCTAATGGAAGAAACAAGTAGACGAAAAGCGCATCTCTCACACGGATTTCTCCGTCTGCGCTGGAGCTTAATGAGAAAAACCAAATAAAACAACCCACAAATTTCTGTAATTGCCACTTTGTGCTTTTGTGTTGTCTTGCTGCTTCGTCCGTTGTTTTGATGCTCGTGTCTTCTTATATCTTCTTGAAGAGCTTGAGTCCGGAGCCTCAGATATTGGTGACCTAAACCGATTATGCTTTTAAAAAGTATCATCATCTTTGATAATATATAGATTTATTTTCACATTACTCAATATATTCTTCCTTTTTTTGCATAATGAATTGATAACAAGCGGTTTTGCCCCTCGCTGCCGGCTTTTATTGCCGCACGTAGCCGCCCGACAAAACGGATCCCTCTTCCTTTTGTCATCGCCGCGTTCTGCTGACGCCATGAATATGTTTCTTATTTTCCTGCACCTGTTTCATCAGTAAATTATGACTATTTTTTTTATCAACTTAATCCCTCCTGAGCTCCACCGTGGCAGTGTCAACATTTTTTCTCTCCTTTCTGTCTTTTTCTGTAAACGCGTTGCTCTTATTTGATAATGAGGTCTGTAAGGCGCTTTGTGGAAGCCGGGAGAGCGAGATACAGCTGTCAGGTATATTCGTCTGAAGCCGAGCTTCGCTGATTCCATTATTTGTCCTGGAATTGGCTGTCGCCGACTCCGGATTTTGGCATGCGCACCAGGCACAGGTGTACCCTTATCTCTGCCTTCTCTGCTTGATGGAGAGGCTGCCCGGAGCGGGGGGGCGGCGGGGCGGCGGCGGGTTGGAGGGGGGGGGTAAATGAGCAGGATGCGGGGAAAGACTGAGCGAGTCTCTTTTTTCAGTCACAGGTGCAGACGCAGAGAGAAAGGCAGATCTAACGGATGCTGGTGCGATGGTGGGTGTGAAGCGAGGGAGGAGGGAGGGACGGAGTAAAGGAAGCAGCGGCAGGTGGGGAGAGGTGAGGGGGTTTTGTGGGAAAAGAGATAGTGAACTGTGGATAACACACACACACACACACACACACACATGCATAAAGAGAGAGAAACAAACAAACAAGCCCTTGGCTGTCCCAGAACACCAGCTGACAGGTGCTCCCTGTATGGGTGGCTTGCATCCACAGTTTATTTCCTGTGTGTGTGTGTGTGTGTGTGTGTGTGTGTGTGTGTGTGTGTGTGTGTGACCTGGCATGCTGGATATGTAAATCACCTGTTTGACAAAAACAAAAATGCAATCTGGGAATTGAGAAAGTTGGATCGTCTTTTCTCAGCAAAAAAAATAAATGGAGATTGCAATGAAGATTGAAAACCACCTGTTTTTGTCTATTTTTCTAGTTTTTTCCACCCTGGCCCTGAAAAAATATAGTTCATCAATCTTTCAGTCTTCCTGAAATGAATTGTTGTTTATTTTTAAGCAGAAGGCCAAACCGTTATTGGTTTTAGCTCCTCAAATGTGAATATTCGCTTGTGTTGTTCATATTCTATAACAATAAACTATTAGACCGTACGTATCATTTCACCCTACATTGTAAGATTCGATTTCTTTATGTCGTATTGTTTTGTCATTTCTGTTTAGCTGGATAGAGATATCATTATCTGTCTACACGTTGTAACACATTGGCTGTGAACATTTTACTGGAACGTTCGCTATCAATGTTTTCAGTTCATCCCCATTATGTAGAAACATGAATCTGGAGGCATCATGTCAACGTTGTTAAAAGGTTTTTGCTGTTGCATAGAAACATTTTTCATGAGATGGGAGGAGGTTCATGAGTCGATTTGGAAGTCTATAGCTAGTTCTCTGATTGTCCTACTTCCCACTGTTACGTGTGAATCATGTGACATGTGACCTTCCCTCAAATTAAAACTAGACGATGCATCTGTGAGTTTTTAATAAGCAATTTTCCACTTGTGACTCGTCTTTGTGTGTGAAGAAGAATTCTCAAGCCTGAACCCTATTATCTATTCTCCCCATTAATCACTTCCTCCTACACGCACGACTTGTGTATACACGAGCGCTTAGGCCACACACACACACACACACACACACACACACACCTACGCCAGCATGCAGCTCAGCGGGAAGCTAAAAAGTGTTTTCCAGGCCTCGTTTTAATTGGATGCTCTACGTGGGTTTTCCCTCTCAGAATGAACCGTCTTCTACGGATGATCGACTCCGAGCCGGATGTTTCTGAGCCGAGACATGAATGAAATGACTGAACATAAACTGAACGTAGAATACACTTTGTCGATTTCATACAAATTTGACATATTTCTTTCCTGACTTTAGATCAGGCCGTTCCTGGCAAAGCAGAGCACAGCGCGCTCCCTTTGATGGGACTTTTACACTAACACTCGTGTTTATTATTACACATCAATATCGTGTCTCTTGCTTGACTTTGCCTGTTCGTCCTCTGTGTTTTGTTAAGCCAGGAGAGCGTGAACCAGCGTCTGGTTGAATCCACTTCTTAGACCTCCACCTTCCACGTCCATGTTTTATAATCTCAGTCCTGCATATTTGATAGAGGGCTTCGACCGAGCTGTGTAGGTTTAAAACCGTCCTGTGCGTTAGCTCAGCCAGGGGAGCTCGAGGCACGATGTTTGAATTTAAAACTAAATAAAACTTGTGAATTGTGTTCATGTGCTTGGTGCTTCAGTGAGGAACTATTTTGATTTATTTGCCAAACGGTTGACTTTGAGTTCTTTGTTGTTTCATATTACTATTAAGGAAAGAATGCAACTTGTTTCCAAAGGCGCTGCGCTGGTGTTCTCCTGATAGTTCACGTTACGCGTATGATCACATATTTTATAGAACATACAACATTATGTTATACAACATTATCGACGTGTTCTGTTTTCACTCTGTAAAAAAATCATGAAATACGGCTGAGAATCTGTCTGTCAGTGTTTCCTCACCTATCGCTGCGTTTAGTAGGCAAGAAAAATGACTCAACCAATAAGCGATGTTGTCCGGGGAAGCCGACAACACGAAGGCTTCCAGAACTCCATTTCTCTCGCTTCTCTCCTCGGGACCACGTGTACGTTTGCATCCACGTGGTGCAGCAAAATGTCATGAATTTTCATTTCCTCCCTTTTGGATGGATGGTTATCGAGTCCGCCTTCTTTCTCTCTCTCTCTTCGCGGAACATTCTCTGCTCAGCAGCCGTCTCTGTTCTCTCCATTTACTTCCGACCCGCAGCATAAAGGAGCAAACGTCTGTGCTTTTCAATGCCGCGGAATACGAGCTGGAAATCAGCGCTTTTCAAAAGGGAAAACGAGACGTCCCCGTCGCCGTGTCGCTGCACACCGTCCCCGCAGCCAAGTGTGTGCGCGTGTGTGTGTGCGTGTGTGCCGAAGGCTGAACCACTTCCCCGCCAACACTGTGAGGATTGAGGAAACGCGGTACGAGGCCAGAGAGGACGCCTTCAGGGCGTTTGGTTTGTGTCTCCGGACGATGAGAAGCGGCCCCGCTGACTACTTGCTGCACACTGCGTGTTGAGTGACAGCCGTGTGCGTCGCGTCCAGTGTGTTCTGGTGTGCACATCCTTCCGATTCCTCCGTCATTTAAGCGGTTGAAACGTGTGCCATGTCCGGCGGGCCAATTCTAGGCC